ACCAGCACCTTGAATTGGGCCTGGACTTCAACTGGAAGCCAGTGGAGCTGGTAGAGGACCGGCATTATATGAGAATAATGACGGGTCCTGTCAGCAAACTGGCAGCTCTGTTTTGTACCAATTGAAGTATCTGGACCATTTTCAAAGGCAGCCCCATGTAGAGCGTGTTACAATAATCCAACCGGGAAGTTACCAGGGCATGTATCACCATTGCTAGGCAGTGCTCGTCTGGGTAAGGATGCAGCTGATGGACCAGCTGAAGCTGGAAGAAAATGCTCATTGCCACCGCTGTCACCTGGGTCTCCAGGGATAGGTTTGGGTCAAGGAGCACTCTTAAGCTGCGAACCCTGTCCTTTAGAGGGAGTGCAACCTGTCCAGGACAGGATCAAAATCACTTACCTGAACATCCAAACTGCCCACCAACAGGACCTCCATCTTATCTGGATTGAGGCTCAGTTTATTGGCCCTCATCCAGCCCATTACCTTGGCCAGGCACTGATTAAGGACAGCCACTGCCTTACCTGGATTGGTGGAAAACGAGAGGTAGAGCTGGGTGTCATCAGCATACTGATGGTTCTGCAGCCCAGACCTCCTGATGACCTCTCCCAGCGGTTTCATGTAGATGTTAAAGAGCATGTGGGGACAGAATAGAGCCCTGCGGTACTCCATGGCAAAGCTGCCATGGTGCAGAGCTATAGTCCCCCAGCACCACCTTCTGGAATTGGCTGTCGAGGTAGGAGTGGAACCACTGCCAAGCAGTGCCTCCTACTCCCAGTCCCGCCAGCCTATCCAGAAGGATACCATGGTCAGTGTTATCAAAAGCCACTGAGAGGTCCAGGAGACACAACAGGGACACACTCGCCCTGTCTTTCTCCCTGCACAGGTCATCGTACAGGGCGACCAAGGCAGATTCAGTACCATAACATGAAGCCAGACTGAAATGGGTCCATATAATCTGTTTCATCCAATAGTGCTTGGAGTTGTCCCGCCGCTCCAAAACCTTGTCCAAAAACAGAACGTTGGCCACTGGCCTATAATTGGCAGCTACCTCTGGGATCAGGGATGCCTTTTTCAGGACAGGTCAGATCACCGCCTCCTTTAAACGGGCAGGGAACTGGCCCTCCCTTAGTGAGGGGTTAATAACTTCCTGGACCCAGGGGCCAATCCTGTGACTGACTTTCCTAAGTAGCCAATAAGGGAAAGGGTCAAGCAAACAGGTGGTAGGGCGTACCATCCCAAGTACCTTGTCCGCATCATCAGGCCGCAACAACTGAAACGCATCCACTAATGATGGACCAGATGGCGCACTGGACACTTCCCGTTCTGGAGACATGTGAACTGTGGAGTCCAGTTTGTGGTGAATCTGAGCGATGTTTTCCTTGAAGTGAAATTAAAAGATACTTGCAAGTTAAGGTCATATCTTGTTATAGGGATGCAGAACACTTTCATGGTGGAAGGCCAGACTGCTGTGCACCGGGGTCTCTGCAGAACAGAGGGTGCATGGAACACCCTTAGCATAGAACACCCATTGACATCAACCCCCTCCCCCATTTTGCCTTCCCCCATGCTTGAAGGGTCAACCTTGGGGGCACAAAGAATGGGACTTGGCTGGCACTGGAATGAGTAGCCACAGATCACTGGCTTTCTGCAGTGTGAAGCACTCAGCTGGTGCTGGGAAGAACGGGTGCATCACCAAGTTTCAGCTGAATCCCTCACTGCCCACAGCCCTGCTGCTCTCTCTGGCCTGAGATCCAAGCTAACTGTAGGGTCTTCTCTTGAAGGAGGCCATGGCCTGCTCCGTGGAGGAACCCACAGAAGATGCAGAACTTCTTTGGGTGAATCGTTCCCATCCACCATGTTGAACATAGAAGCTCATGTACTTTGTCATAAGGAGCTTAACAGGAGCCACTAGGAATTGTAGTAACTCCTATCTTCTCCATCCCAGGCTTCATTTTGTGTTGTGATCCTAGATTAGAGAGAACCTTCTGAACAGCCAAAGCTGGAACACAGAACCAGTTGGCAATTTCCAGACCTGACAAATTTCCTGTCGCCACTATTTGGTGAAGTTTTTGCATGTTTGCCTTGTTGGCTTCGTGCTTGTTATATTTTTTCCCCTCTCATTTGAAAACTGCCTTGGCAACATCATCCAAGATGTTCTCCACCCCCGCAGCTGTCAAAGCAATTGTAATTGGGCTATCTTTGTTGTGGTCTAAACCCAATTTGTGCTTTTAATGTGAATGATGTCTTTATGTGGATCCAGTATAAAATGTAGATTGTCTCTTGCTAATGGTGGCAAATTCTGCTTTGAGTAAACCTTTGGCCAGACCAGGTGAGCAACTTGCTAATGTCTGCCTTCTCTACATAGCTTTACAGAGCAAAGTGCTATCATATGCCTAAACCTTAATTTTGTTTGTTTGTAGAGAAGTCTGATAGGACTGTGGAACCCTTTACCTTTGAAAGCCATCATGTTTCTGACACTCTGAGTGACTGCTTGTTCCCTGAAGTCTGTGGGCAAAATGCTGGGCCATGTCCCCAGATGGCTGCGCCAGGTCCTTCCACAGCAAACGATGCATCATTGAATATGTCAGGCTGAATTAGAAAGCAGGCTCATCACATTAATCTCAGACTCTGAGCTGGCAGTTCCTATGTTCAGGTGTCATTTGATCCTGGCTGTCATATGCCTGTCTCCACCTCCACAGCCATGGGAAATCTCCCTGGGTAACATACAGACAATAATACACAGAAATTGCTGGAGGAAATGCTTTACTGGCAATGGCCACCATTGACTGACACCTTCTTGTTACATTAAATTGCCTTATGGTGCCGTGCTGCTGAAGGTATTGCTTACATTGTTATTCCTGTCTGCTTGTGCTGACCATATTTGTTCTTGATGGGGATCTTACTGGATTATACTTAAGAAACATAAAGGGATGCATATACTTGAAAGGTTGTTACAAAGGAGAAGGCCAGGATCTCTTCTTGATCATCCCAGAATGCAGGACATGGAGTAATAGGCTCAAGTTACAGGAAGCCAGGTTCTAGCAGGACATCAGGAAGACCTTCCTGACTGTTAGAGCAGTACAGCAGTGGAACCAATGACCTGTGGGCTCTTCCACACTGGAGGCATTCTAGATGCAACTGGATGGACAGACTTCTGAGAGGGAGTCCAGCACTGAGCAGGAACTTGGACCCGATGGCCTCCTTAGGGCCTTCCAACTATACTATAATTATATAGTATTCTATAATTCTGTGCTACACCATGTCATTTAGCATTGTGCTAACTCAAAATGCTGTTCTTGTAAGGATAACATGAAGCTATCCTTGTAAGGATAAAATGAAGCCACCATGGGTTCTTCACAAAAGGAAAAAAGGTGGTATATAAAGATAAGGATGCTGCTGCTGCTGATGATGATGGTGGTGGTGGCGGTGGTGGTGGCGGTGGTGGTGATATTTCTGATTAAAAGGATAAAAGCAAGATTCTGCCCCACAACTTGGATACAGCTGGAGCTGCCCTGGGTAGACCATTATAGTAGATCATTACAGGTTGAGTAGACTAATGATCTGACTCAATATGATGTTTGTTTCTTGGTTTGCTAAATTTGTACTCTGTTCTTCAACCAAATGGCGCTGAGAGCCACTAGCTACAATAAAATACAAATATAATAAAGTAATACTGTACCATAAAGATGTAATCATGTGTTCCTCAGACCACATCTAGGTGGCCATCGGAGAGGTCAGAGTTCGAGTTCTGACCTTGAAAGTCAGGTCTGGGACCCCAGCCTCAGAGAATGCTCCCTCAACACTTACTACCAGTGTGGAAAGAACCAGGCCAGCTGCCTTTCTGGTCAGAATACTGAACTTGGAGCCAGCGGCTTTAGGACATTCTGGGTGGCAGGGATGGGAGGAGAGAGGCTGAGATGCAGCATCCTGGTGGTGCCTCAGCCTGTCCTCCTCACACCATGGAGCAAAGGCCCAAACTGGTCTTCTGTATCTTTCATAGGGCGTGCACATAGAGGTGACTTTTGCCTCCGTGGGTCTTCAGCCTTAATAGAAAGTGCATAATCTCTCGAGCAAGGAGGGTTCTGGGCTGTCACACAAAATTGTGCTATAAAACATCAGTAAAATATGAGGTAAACACTGAGAAAGAGGGCAAGTAAAACATCAGGAAAGCAATAACAATGAGTTAAATCCCACTGATTTACCATGGCAGATGCTTTTGTGTGTAGCTTTAATATTTTCCTATCAGTGAATTTTATGGAAGTTGAGTTAGTTAGCTGTATCAAACTCATAAGAAACAGCAGGTAAAAATATTCTAAATACATCAGTGTTAGGCATATTTCTTTGAATTCATGTTCTTGCTGTAATGCTAAAATCAGTGTTCCAATTTTCTTGCTACTCAGCTTCTATTTTACCACAATGATATAAAATCTTTCTAGCCATGCCATATGTCTTTCACTACTATATTACTTCATGCTCTGTGTCTCCCTTTCTTAAGACATCCATTCTCTGGAGACAAAAGGGGTTAACTACATGATTATGCACATACTCTTGTAACCCAGCCCTGATGCTGTTACTCCTCTGGCAAGAAAAGCTGCTTTGGAAGGGGAATATTTTAAGGAGTAAAGCAGTAGGGGAGGGGCCCTTAACCCTTTGTCCGCCTTCTGTTTCCACATTCAAATATTTTTCCTCTCCCACGATGGCCTTTTCTTCTGCAGAATTCAGAAAAGGAGTAAACAAATGTGTCTACGTAAATTCAGTGTGTGGGCAGATCTCAGCTGAACTGAACAAAATGAATGGGAACTAGGGGTGGGGAGCACACTTTGTTAACTGTCATGTTCATGAACCAGCACAAGATTTCAGGTGAGAGACAGGAATCGGAGAGCCATACTTGCAAATTAGAGGCAAATGGCTGTGCAGCAGAACACAGTGTGATACTTCCTTTGACAATAAAATATATGTATTCCCTTTGATTAACTCTGTGTGTTTCTTGTCTTTGCCAGGTACCTGTGCTAAGGCCCATGGATTTAATGGTGGAGGCAACTCCCAGGAGAGTGTTCGCAAATGCACACACATATCACATCAACTCCATATCTGTGAACAGTGACTATGAAACCTACATGTCCGCAGATGATTTGAGGATAAACTTATGGAACTTTGAAATAACCAATCAAAGTTTTAGTATCCTTTGCTTCATGAATGTGGCTGGAGTTATCATCCACTCAGAAGAAACCTGTTTTGAGAAGAAGCTCCTTGCTTGAACCTCAAGTTTGCACCTCTTGAATGGTTGGTTGGTTGTGTTCTAAAGTGCATTTTATGTTTATTCTTGTCCTTTCACTGCACCTATTTTTAGCATGTAGCACTTTTTTCAAAAGTGTGGAAAAGTTTGAGATTCCAAGTTGTATGTGAGTCCATCAACTTGCTTATTGTTTTTTTTTTTTTTTCTTGCTACAGTTTCTCACAGCGTAGTCTGACACAGAATAGGCAGGAGAAAATGCATTTCTTCTATAAGAAGAATGTACCAGGAAATACAGGAAAAATGATGGGACACCTTTAGGAGACACTTTGTTTAATCTGTATTGGGGGAGTCGCCAGTGTCTTTTGCTTTGCATTTCAGTCTTTCCAAGAACACACAAAAGTAGAGGCTGGAAGATGATGGGCAATGTTCCCCGTGCCACGAATGCCTTGACAGGTTTGTACAAGTGGCTAAAGAATACCCACAGCCTTTGGATTAACTCGGTACCAACCATTTCAAAGCTGCTTTGTGTTGTGTGAAAGTACAGTTTGGTCATCCAGAGGCAATCCGTGGCACAGGCTCTTTCTCATATCATTCCAAACCAATTTATTGTTGTGGTGCTGGCATGGAAAGAATTCACACTTAACTTTAGCAACATAGGAGCTGCATCACCATGATGTCTTCCCCTGCTGTTCTGGTACTGAACAAAGAAACTGTGTGGATGGCGATTCTTTCCCACGTTATATAAGAGGAAAAAGGGCTCACCTTCAGATTCTTGTGTTTGAGATACTGGCATAGAGGAACCAGTTGACCAGGACCATAGTGTGGTTCCTTTCCTTCTGCCCATTGCTTTCATCTCACTGCTAAGGGCAGTGACTGGGAGGGAAGAACCCACAGGATTGTCCTGGTCCCTATATGACAGTAACTGGGTTCACATGACATGATAAGCTACACTGGATTATATACCAGCTTTCTTAACCACACACAAGCTACTTCGGCTGGGTTCAGACAATACAACAAGCCACCCTGGCTTGGAACCACCATGACTTGTCAGGTTGTGTGATTCTAGTGTGAACCTAGTCAGTATTGTCAAATAAAAGAAGCTGAAGGTGAGGGCTTTTGCATGCTTGTATAAGAATTCAGATTTGCTCAGTCTAGCTCTAATTTTGGAAAGGCTACATAGTAACGGTTCCTACCACGGTTGGTGTGAAGCAAAATGGTAAATGGGGGATTAGGGTGGACTACTGAGAAAGCAGCATTTCCTCCCATCTCTGGGGTAGAAGTTACTGAGTGTCCCTTCCTCTTGCAGTAGCATCATAAAGAGGGAATGCCTTACTTCCTCTTTAGGTTGTCTGAGTAAATGCTAGATTGCTTCCTCTTGGCAGTAGCACTGAAGAAATGAAGTGGAAAGGTTTTTGCAAGTGAGTGAAGATGGGGAATTCTGTGCCGCTTAAAACTAGATGTGAGGGACTTGTAGTCACTTGTGGTGTAATTTAGGTAAGAGGTTGCTGGGGAGTGTTTTTCCAAGGCACTTCCTGGAGGTGAGGAGGTTTGTGAGAGAAAGAAAAATAGGGTGCCAGAGTAGGCAAGTTTGGTCTTTTATCCTTCCCATATGATGCACAATTCTGACATGAGTAAGGATATGTAAATGAACAAAACTCAAGCTCACCACAGTTCTTCAAATTCTGTCTCAAAGTTCTTTCCACAGGAAAACTGTATCAGATGGTGAGCTTTGCTTTTTGTTTTTGTAGGAAACTCTGTGCAGATCATTCTGTGGATTTTTCCAAATGTATGCATCCGTTGTGCATATTTCCAACATGTGTGTGTTCTTTTCCCAATGATTAAACCATTTTTATTCAAAATGTGCGTTTTCCACACACACTTTTCGAATGTGCACATGCTGCTGAAGGCATATTTTTATGCTCTGCAAATCACCTTGCAAGCTCAGAACATATATGTTCATTTGATAAATCCTAAAAAGAAACAATCTGTAATGGATTTCTCATGCATTCCTATTTGTGATTCTGAGGCTCTGAAATGAAGTTTCCTTGTTGATAATTAGGTAATAATGCTTATTCAAATGATTAGCAGAACAGTGTGGGCAGATGCTGTAGAGAAGCAGTTCCCACTCTGCAGTGTACAGGGCCCAGGTTTTTGCTCACTGTAGAAGAATGGTTAACAGTCTGGGTGTCGGGCTGCAGCCCCATATACACATTTAGTGGAACTGAAATAGGAAAACCTGCATCCTTTATTGTGGACTTGTAGCTACAGCACTTGCCTCAGGGAGAAGATAAAACAGGAAGAATAAAGGGAGAACATTGACAGCACATGTACTGGGGAAGAAGGAGAAAGAGAGCGAAGGAGGATGCATAGAGAGGAAGAGGGGAAAATGTGGTTGGGTGTTAGAATCTTGGAAATGAGGAAGCAGAAGATGGGGCTTGAGATTAAGATTGTGCAGGGAAGAGAGTTGTGCCATCAGGGAGGACATTCTCCAATGGTCACTTGCTTGGTAGAAGGATATTCCAGGTTTCCGATACCTTGTAGCCAATATTTTGTTGCAAGCTTCCTTCTCTATTTACCATTGCTGTAAAACTAGAACTAATGCCAAGCAGAGTGTGATGGCTTGAGGCTTTTTTGCTTCCTTTAGTTGTGTGTGTTTTAAGCGGCCCTGCTTTTAAAACGTTGATTTCTTGGCACCAGCATGGCCGTTCTGCCGACCACAGTGAGGCTTCCACTTGCTCCAGCTTGGAATCAGAATGCAGCGCAGCTGGGCATTATCACAGGGTGCAGCTTTCCAGCTCAGTTGACAAGTTGTTGGATTTCGCTTAGAAGAGCGCGTGGGTGTGGGGGGAAAGTAATGGCAAGGTGTAATTTAGAAAGACAGGTGCCATTGGGGAGCACATGGAGAAGAAATATTAATAAGTCGTTTCCATTGTATACTATAGATGTATGACAGGCTGCCAGAAACAGGTATGCAAATGAGACTCGGCCGCAACAGGGGTAAAAACGGGGGCATTGGAAATGATTCAGCTCCATCTGCATGGCCAGAACATGCCTGGGATTCCACAAACTGCTCTTGGACAATGATGCTCTCGAGTAAATGGATACATGTAGCTCCGTTAGGGCTCTCTGAAGATTATGGTCTATGAATGCTTCCATAGTCATGCATGAGCGCGTGCATTCTTCCTTCTTCTCTTCCAGCCGGTGGGTTGAGGATTTACTGGGTGAGTATATGATCTAACAAAAAGGGGTACAGTCTAGCTGGGAAGGACATGAGGCACAAGTCATGGGAAGTCTTGGTGAAGAGAGATCAAAGGAACAATAACAGACTTGCAGTGTCCTGCAACAGCAGGGGATCGGACTCGATGGCCATCGTGGCCCCTTCCAACTCTACTGCCTGGGGAGAGTGGGAAGAGCTAAGAGAACCTGGCATATCAGTAAGTTGTAAGGACCTAACTTGCACGGATCCATCCGGAAATGTGGGCAATGGGCACGTGGTGAGGTGGTCGTGTGATTTTGCCGTGCTGAGTCAGAGATCTGCAGGCTTGTTTGCAGGTGCAGAGTTGGAGCCTGTGTGAGGTGCTTGGAGCATTGGAGACTCTGCCACTGAGTCTCACCCTCTGCCTTGCCAGGGCTGCTTTTTGCCCAAAGTGCATCACAGCAGCAATATCACCTCCGACTTCAGTTGGCGACTTCTGACAAAAGAAATGATTCTCCACCGCACTCCGAAGCGATGGCAAGGCATCCTCAGGGAAATGCACATGTGTGCTACTGACTCAAAGAGCACAGCACTGTGCATTGATCTGGCACCACACATATTGCTTGAGTTTTCTTATTCCTTGCACAGAGGTACTTTGTTCTTGGCAATTATACAGCTTTTGGAAGGAGATGGTCGCAACTGCTGTGATATTCATAACTGGTCTTGACCCCCTGTATCCATCGTAAGCAAGAGCTCTGGGGAAAACTGGAGGTATTTGGGCTTTGCACTCTCTCATGGTAACTCTGCAGCATTTCGTTCTTGCCAAGAGCTATAACAGCCCGTCTTTTCTCACCCTGGTATATTCTAAAGGAAGGCGGCCTTCTGACCTATCAGTGAGTTATAGATGGAACATGTCAGCATGTGACAAATCCGATCCCACTGCTAAGAGGCTGCCTCGCTATCTTGGTTTGAGTGTATAGATGCCTAGCTGAATTCTGTCCACTGGAGGACAGTAGACAGTTGCAAAATTGCCACTCACTTCTCTTTAAAAGAGAGACAAATAGTGGGCAAATGCTAAGCATTTTCAAGAGCGACAGTATCAGCACATGGCATGCATATAGCACAAAACGTGACTGCACAGGTGCCTTCCAAGGTCCAGTCACTCTCAAAAATGAAAGCCTTAAGCACATTCCTCAGGGATTCTTCTCTACCGGGTTTGTGGTCCGAGAGGGGAAAGACATTTAATTTTGTAGAAGTAGTTTACCCTGTAGAAGTAGTTTACCCTGGTGAGAATAGGTGACTTACCATTGCTCTCCACCCGCAAGTGAGAACCAGTTCAGAACTGCCTGTGTGAGTAGAGTGTGTGTAAGTGCAAAATGTTGACCTGTGTGTGTGTGCACGCATGTTTGTGTGCACGTGCAGGCATGCATCTTCAAACATGAATTGGACATGCACTGCAGGAGTGCAGCCAGCTACATTTCAGGCATCCAGTTGACACTTCTTAGAGGCTTGGAGTGCTTTATGCAAGCAGCAAAATAAGGGGATTTATTAAGCCATGATGTGTGTGCTTGCTTTGTTTGTGTTTAGAGCAGCAAACTGACTATCGTCAGGATGGCAGGTTGCTTTCAAACTCTGCTGTCACTTTTTTTTAAAGCAGACTGTTAAGGCAGCCCAGCATCTCAATTATATGCTCTACAGCTGTAAAATCACAGCCTTATACATTTCATGTTGGAGCCATCTATTACA